TCTGTGTGTCTGTGTGTCTAGTGTGTCTGTGTTGTCTGTGTGGCTGTGTGTCCCTGTGTGTCTGTGTGTCTGTGTGTCTGTGTGTCTGTGTGTCTGTGTGTCTGTGTGTCTGTGTGTGTGTGTCTGTGTGTTGTGTGTCTGTGTGTCAGTGTGTCTGTGTGTCTGTGTGTCTGTGTGTCTGTGTTTCTGTGTGTCTGTGTGTGTGTCTGTGTGTGTGTCTGTGTGTCTGTGTGTCTGTGTGTCTGTGTGTCTGTGTGTCTGTGTGTCTGTGTGTCTGTGTGTCTGTGTGTCTGTGTGTCTGTGTGTCTGTGTGTCTGTGTCTGTGTCTGTGTGTGCTGAAGCGGGCGCCGGGCCCATGCAGACCCTGCCACTGGGGCCGTCGCTCCCTAAGTGGCCGCGAACTGTGTGATGCGGTGTGCCACAATGGGCGTCGGGTGCATGCGGACACTGCCACGGGTGCCTTCGGTGTACCTTCCAATAGGGCCACGAGCCGGGCGAGGGGTGTGCTACAATGGGCGTCGGGCGCATGCTGACCCTGCCAGAGCCCTCGGAGGAGCTCTCGATGGGGCCACGAGCCGTATGAGAGGTGCCAAAATGAGGGACATTCTCGCCGATGAGCGTGAGGAGCGTGACGGAAGTCTTTAGCCTGCCCTCGACCAGACGCTCCACCGTGTCGTGCAGACGCTTTTCGAAGGGCTCCATGACGCGGTCCATTTCCTTTTTGTGGGACTGCGTGCGCAATGAGGGATACTGGTTTGAACCAGAATGGCGGGATGACCCGGCACACCTGGAAGGACTTGCCGGCTCTATGGAGACGACCTGGTGCTAGATGCTGGCCTGGTGCCCGAAGTCGTCGTCGGAGTCCATGTTGAGCACGTTGGAGTTCTTCAGCGCACGCGTACGTTTATCCTCTGGGACTTGTCGAGGTGCAGCCCCCGATTTCTCCGTGGGGCTGCGGTCCACAATGTCCGCCCAGGAGTTTCTTCCAGACTCAGCCGTAATTCAGTTGCGCTGCCTCGCAATGTTGCCAAGCTTGTTGGTGGAGTGAAACTGCTGTGCTTCAGCAGCTGTTGTCGATACCCGCCCTCTTCGTCTTCGATCGTACCCCCTTCGGGATATAGCTTCCTTGCCTGCAACGTGTATGTCGTGCAGCCCCTAAGGCAGGGGAAGACAGGACGGATGGAAGGAAGGGACAACGGGGGAGGAGGATGGAGCACGAGAGAGTGTAGCAGGAGGGGGGCTAGGAGCAGAAAGCACGTGGCGGAAACAGACGGGCAGATCGGGCGAGGCACGTCACCTTCAAACGACACATGGTGCACTGGAAGGGGGATCCACTCGCTCTTCACTGCTCTCCTGCCACTCACTGATAGAGTCTCGAATTCCGCCCTCCTCGTTCCAAAAGGCACCATCCTCCTGGAAACTCATGCCACTTCCCGGGGAAAGCCCGACACCAAAAAGACCAGCGTGCCGGGATGGTGGACCCTGACGCACGGGTCGGACGGGCGGACCTGGACGGGCGTGGCGGGCAGCCGAGGGATTAAAGCGCGCCCGCGGGCTCCCAAGCAGGCAAGCGGACCGACCCTGCCTGGCGGGCCGGGCGGGCGGGCACGGAGGGCGAGGGGCGGCCGGAGTCGGGCGGGCCCTGACGGGCGGGTGGGGCGGGCGTCGCCAGCGGGCGGGTCGTGCGGGCGGGCCCCAACGGGCGGGCCAGGCGGGCAGGGCCCTCACAGGCGGGTCGGGCGGGCTTGGCCCTGACGGGCGGGACGAGCGGGCGGACCCGAACGGGCGGCTTGGGCGGGCCAGAGGGTAAGGACGGCGGCGAAGGAGTCCCAGGCGAGAGCGCGACTCCTTTCTTTGCGAAAGCGCGGTGCTCGAGTAAATTGTCCGGACGGTAGAGGGAAACAATTAGTGAACACTCCCCCTCCCCCCAAAACTCAGTGTTGGCACGCGCGGGGGAGACTGCGGTCGAAGCGCATCTCGTCAGACCCACCGCCAACCTTGAACATTGGGGGGAGGGGGAGGCGTTGATGGATGAATGTGGCATGTGTTCGCCAATTTGTTCCGAGGCCTGGATGTCCCCCAGCGAGAGCGCAATTGCTGATGCAAGTGTAAGGGTGTCCAAAAAAAGACCGCGAAGCGTGCATATGTCGCAGGGAGATCCCAATCGAGAGCGCGGTTCATGAAAGGCGAGATTGTACACTGCACGGGAAGGCTCAAGGGGGAGCGCGACGGGGCCGTTGCTGACTATCCTATGGTCGGTCCAGGGGCCAGGCGACTCTCCGACCAGGAAGACGTCTCCTGACAAAGAACAGGGCACGAGAGCCGAAGGAGGCTACGGAGGAGGATGACAACGACGACAACAAGAAGGAAGGAGACGAGAGGGACAGGCAGGTGCACCAGGCACAAGAGCACTGGCACGAGCCTGCACAGGAGAGGGCCGGCCGCGGCCTTCGTGATTCGCTCGGCGAAGTAAAGGCCGTGGCCGTACAGCGGAGCAGTGTCCTTCCAGGTGGCGCCAGCTCCGGCATGATCCAAGCTGAAGTTCACCTGTGCTCACTTTGGAACAGGAACGCGGCAAATCCCGCGGAAAGGCAGCGGTCGGGATCCAACAGAAGCGAAAACACCGTAATACTTCTTCCTGCTGATCCTGCTGCTCCAACTCCTCCTCCTCCTCCTCCTCCTCCTCCTCCTCTTCCTCCTCCTCCTCCTCCTCCTCCTCCTCCTCCTCCTCTTCCCCCTCCTTTTTCTTCATCCTCATAATCATCACCACTATCATCAGCATCCTAATCATCATCATCACCATCACCATAACCATCATCACCATCGGTCAACGGTCATGACTCATCGGCCTCCCCTCACCTCAGTGGTGTGCGTGCCGCTCATCATCACCACCATCACCGCGCACCATCAACAGCACCGTCATACCACTCGTCCGCTTCCGCCATTTCCTCTCCTTCTCTTGTGGGAGGCCTGGAAATGGGCACCAACACCAAGACAGGGGGCTGCCTCCACAGGGGGGAGGTGATCCTAGATTTCAGTGTTGGTGGTAATCTTTCGGCTTTCGGCCACCTTGGAAGCTAGACTATTACCACCATCACCGAGATCGGGATCTTCTTCCCTCGGTGGAGGAACACCGCCGACCTTGGTGCTGGTGTCAACCTCTAGGCCTGCGATCTTGGGGCGATCTCAGGCGACCGTGCGGACTGCCTTCACGACCGACATGCTCCTCCGCACCACCTCTTCCTCCCCCACAGGCCGTCCACAGCGACAGCACGGCCGAAAACCGGCCGCACCCGCGGCGAAGCCGAACAAACCGACAGCAACCCACAGGCCGCAGGAGCCCCCCACGGGCGCAGCGACGCAGCACAACGGCACAGCAGCTGGCGGAGCCGAACCGACCGAACACGCAACCGACCGCGACGCAGCCGAACCGACCGAGCCGTGAATCATCTCCCTCCTCTTCCCCCTCCCCTCCGTCTGATCCATCTTTCCCCCCCTGCCCTGCTCCAAGGCGGGGCCAAAGTGGCGGCGAGGTAGGATAGGAGGGCCGACGACGAGGAGCACGAAGAGGAAGGAAAAGGTCTTGGAGGGGAAAAAGCGCTTGGAGGACTCAAGGAGGCGTTCGGGGTTCAAGCATTTTCTGATACTTAAGGGGATTGTCAGGTGCTCTGAAGAATTCAAGCGGACCACCGCCTTGCAGCCTCAGTCCGCATCCTTCTTTCATTCATCCTGCCTCATCCTTCCCTCCTTCCCATTCTCTCCTTCCTCCCTTTCCCCATCCTTTTCCTCCTCATCCTCTTCCTCCTCCTCCCCCCCCTCCTCCTCCTCCTCCTCCTCCTCCTCCTCCTCCTCCTCCTCCTCCTCATCTTCCCTTGTTCTCTTCATGGCTCATGGCTGCGGGCAGGCTCTTAGCGAACGACTGGAGCCCCTGTTTTCCCCTCCTTCTCCTCCCCCTCCTCCTCCTTCTCCCAGGCTGGATTGCAGGAGAAGGCCGAGGCGGGCCAGCAAGCATCAACAGGGGGAGAGGCGGCCCCAGCGTCCCCCTGCTCGCCTCTGGACATCGCCGCTGCTGGACAAGCCCGGGAAGAGATAGAGGAGCAGGAGGAGCAGGAGGAGGAGGAGGAGGAGGAGGAGGAGGAGGAGGAGGAGGAGGAGGAGGAGGAGGAGGAGGGGGGAGAGGAGGGGGACGGGGAGGAGGAGGAGGAGGAGGAGGAGGAGGAGGAGGAGGAGGAGGAGGAGGAGAAGAAACAACGAAGGGGCCAGTACCCCTGGACACATTGCTGGGCCCGCCGGCCCCTCCAGGCAGGCGGCCCCGCGGAAGCCACCGCCGCCTCCGCGCGTTCCCCGTGTTGCCGCGCGGCTTCTAAGAATACCGGCCTGCGCACCAAAACTGACGCGTCGAATTGCTGGCGAAATCCCCGCGCGCCAGGCGGAAAGCCCCGCCCGTGGAAGGGGAAAACCAGAAAGGTCGAACTGCAAGAGGCGAGGGAGAGAAGGGGGAGGGGAGGAAGGGGAGGGGGAGAAGGGGGTCCGTCGTCACGTCGACAGGGGTCGTGGTCGTGGTCCTGGCCGGGGTCAACGCGACAGCGGCAGCCGTAGCCAGGGTCGTCGCGATCGTGGTAGCACCGTGGCGGCTGCTAACCTCTGCGGGGGCGCTGGCGGCCCTGGTGTTGCTCTGAAAGCTGACCGCGGCGCTCCTGGCAGGACTCTTTTCGTCCCACGGCCGCCAGGATGGCCTCTGCGCTCCCGAGGTGCAGCCGCGTACGCAGCTGCTGCCAGCCGTATAGCGGCTGACCGGTGTCCCCTGCGCACGGGCCATGTCGTGGTCCCAGGAGCGGACGTACTCCACGGGGGCGTCCCCGTGGCGGCCCCCCCGTCTCGAAAACCACTGGGATGAGCTGCCCTCCCTGTGGCGGGTATCGGATCCGCCTGGCGTCTTCCGCGTCGGTGGCGGAGGGACCGTCCTTGTTGCAGAGTACCCACTGGCGCGGCACACTGCCGCTGTGTGCGCAAATCACGATCGCGCCCAAGAGTAACGTGTGTTCAGTCACCGCGTCTCGGGTGGTGACGTCGAACCGCGCCTCCTCGAGGAAGCTGCCCACTCCGCTGGCTCACCCTGTCCCACGCAGCGACCCGCTGTTCGCTCTGAGCCACCAGCCCTGGTGGTCCGCTGGTGGTCGCCGGCGCAGACGTCTCTGAGTGAAGGGGCCGACAAACACACAAATAAATATACACAAATAGAAGGATTCCCCACATTTTCCTATATTTTCTGGGTTTGTGTCTCCCCCCCTACTTCCCATATTTTCCCAAATTTTTGGCGAATCGACGATTAATTGTGTCTGTGTTTTTCCCCTCCTGACTGAGGTCGTTGTGCTTGTTACTGCGGCAGTGCCCGCCGGAGCACCTCAGGGCGGTGCCGCCCGCGTCAGTCGAGCGCCTCCCCTGCGCAGGGCCCCGTCGGTTTTGCGGAGCTTGCAGGGTGCGCCTGGAAGGCACACTGGCAGCCGCAGCCCGTCCGCGAGGGAAGCGCGGAAGCGCTTGTCGGGCATGTTCGCCGACGACGCCCTGTCCCGAACGACGGGCTGCTCCAGGAAGCTGGCGGCCCCAGGGCCGCCAGACGATCGGAAGTCCACTCTGTCGTCTCCTCCGAGGGGGCCAGCAGCCGCTCGCGGTCCTTGCTGCCAAGCATGGTGCCCCGGGGCGGTTCGCCCACGCAGCCCGTCCAGTCCAGCGTCTCGAACGACCCAACACTCCGCGTCTGAAGCCGGGCCTCTGCTCTGGCCGTAGCTCTGGGCAGGGTTCCTGTCCCGAAGCTCGAAACTCTCCAGGCACGTCAAATTCGATTGGTCCCGCTCGGCGGCGGTCGGAATCACCCTCATAATCATGTGATGGCCGTGCACCGGACGGTCACCAGCCGGGATCCCAACTATCGGGACAACCGTCGGGACAACCAAGCGTGACACAGCGCCTGGGCAGGGAAGACTCATTTTGGCCAGACTCGGCCTCTACTAAGGCAGGAACTCGCGCAGTTTCGCGTCGCCTCGCCCACACGCAAGTCACGCATGACGCGCACCAGAACCCAAGTGGATTTCATGATTGGACTACTCCACTTCACTTCGATCTCCCCCTCCAACCTCCGATCCTCGGATGCCATCATCCATCTTCACCTTCACACGCATGATGAGACCCATCCGCCTGGCTCGGGGCAAAACGGGCGACACTTCCCGCCACCAGGCGGCCGCCACAAAGGAGACGCCAGGGCACAAGAACCAAGCACCACCGCACTATCCGGAAGGCAATGAGACCCCCCTTGGCCGAAGCCCGTTGAAGGAACACTCCAAAGCCAAGCATGGAACACGAATCAAACGCCAAGCAAGAAGCTTGGTATTCCAGAGCTCCCAGGAGTGCTCCTGAGGCAGAAAAAAACGACTTCCTACAGAACCGTTCCTCGAACCTCGAAGATTTTTCTCGACGACAATAGCCGCACCCTGAGCCCCAACCCTTCCAACCCGCCCATGCCTCCCCCCTCTCTCTCGCAAGCCACCCCACCCATCCTCCCTGACATGGACGACGGCCTTCTCCTCCTCCCCCTCCTCGAACTAAATTTGGTCGACGTATTCTCCGCTCGTCGATTTCCCCCGCCGGGTCTGGAAAAATCCTGGCTTGCGATGTCCTGGTTTCCGGGGCCCTGACTTTTCTGCCTCCCGAGATATCTGGAGGTCTCTGAGGGACCTGCGTGGACCTCCGAGGAGGGAACTCTCGAGACCACCTTCCTCTCTCCTTCTCATCCTCCTCATCCTCCTCCCTTCTCCTTCGTCCTCCTCCTCCTTTCTCCTCTTCCTCCTTCTACTAAGTCCTACCTTCCTTCTGACCACACTCCTCCCTCCTCCCGCTCCTCCATCTGCTCCTCCTGCTCCTGCTCCTCATGCTCCTCCTGATCATCCTGCTCTTGCTCATCGTTCTCATCCTCGTCCTCCTCCTCTTCCTCCTCCCGCTCCTCCTCCTCCTCCTCCTCCTCTTCCTCCTCCTCCTCCCTCCTCCTCCTCCTCCTCCTCCTCCTCCTCCTCCTCCTCCTTTGTCTCCCTCCGCCCCCCATTTCGGATGGCGCCGCGGTCACCTCGCAGATCTTCGTGCACGCCTCTTGGGGAGGTCAAGGACAAGATTCGGTAAAACAACACGTGGCGGTATAAGTTATGTGATGTCAAAGACGTCGTACAAGCCATGTCGTGAAAGCTACGGAGGTGAAAATTACGCACTAGAAGCTATGCTGAGCAAGCTGTGCGGTGGTCGCTCTGGGGTGACGGCTGTGCGCTTAACTGCCCCGATGCGCAACACACAACACGTAGCGTATTGATACGGAGCTCCACACGCAGGCTGAAAACGTAGCTCCGACGCGATAGATTCGCCAAAACGTGGCCCAATACGCGGAGCAGCACGCAGCGCATTGGCACGGACGTCTCGAGCACACGGGACGTACTGCGCCTCAAGACGGGCGCGTCGAGGCACCTGAGGCTCTGCGGCGCAGTCCGTGGGGCGCCCACGAGGCGCACACGAGGCGGAGCGGGTGGCCAGCGCGGCGAAAAAACCCTCGAGCGCGTGGCATACGCCCCTCGAGCGCGTGGCATACGCCCCTCGAGGCGCCCCACGTGGCGTGGCGCGGCGAAGAACCCAACGCGCCCCGCGAGCGCGTGGCGCCCCTCGAGCGCCCCCCGAGCGCGGGGGGGCGCCCCCGAGGCGCCCCCGCGGGGCGGCACGGGCGCCCGCCGCGCGGCGGAAGCTCGAGGTGCCGACGTCGGGCTCCGCGATGGACCTCAAGGGGAGAGCCCCTAGGTGAGAGCACTGCGTGGGGGACAGGCACGCGGTCTTAGGCGAAAACAACATCTCTCGCACGCCGAAAAAATACATGATTTTCGAACCAACAGAAACATCCCAGTTTCCCTTGATTTGTTTCGAGAAAATCCAGTTCTCGCTGGAGTATGTAGTTCAGATTCGGAAAGACGGTCGGATCCGTGCTCCGAGCAGAGCGACGGCACCGGCGCCGAAATACCTGTGATGCTGGCACAACGTTGCCTGACACCAATCACAAAGCGATCCCGCGCGGACAATGTGAACATATGGTCGCGCACTGGCACCGCTGAACCCTGGCGGGCGCGCGTCGTAAGATATTTTTTTGAAAACACGCCTGGGCACTAAAGAGATAGAGCACCCGGGGAGGCCCGAGAGGGGGTACCCATCGGTCGGAAGAAGTGTACCCATCGGTCGGAAGAATGAGGTAGAAACATGAAGCGGGAAGACGTTGAAAGTAGAATGGGTGTCCACCCGCCACCTAAAGAGGACGGAGAAGGTGAAGCCACTCGATCATTGAAGTAGGAAGGCGCCTAAAGTAGACTGGAATCTGCGACTCCAAAGATACTACGACCGACGGGTACAGTCGGGACGTTGACCTAAGGAACCCTAAATAAGGAACGAGGCCCCTTTTGCCCATCAGTTAAGGTTTGATTTCCCATCGAAAACATAAGGGAAACCTGAGGCAAGCTGTGAAACACTTAAGGAACGCGGAGCCCCTCCCCAACGAAAAGGGTTCCTTCTTCAGGGCCCCGACTGTACTCCCCCCGAGGGCCACGAGGGTCATCCCCCACAAAGGTGGCCCCACGACGCCCAGCGTGCCCCCAGGGCCCCCCAAAGAGACCCCAACGAAGCCCTCAGCTGGCCCCAACAAAAAAAGCACCCGGGAGTCCACGAGGCCGCCCTCAGAAGACTCCCACAGAGGCCCCACAACGCACGCTTGACTCAGGTGGCCCCCCAAAAGGACACCACTGGAAGACGCCCCGAGAGGCCGCCGCCCGAGGCGTCCAGGAGGCCCCAGGCCATCCCCCGCCAGCAGACGCAGAAGAGGGGAGCAAGCCAGACACAGCTACACCTCGCCATCGCTCGGACGTCCATTCCCTGCGTTTTTCTCGGCTTCGTGCGTGTTTGTTGTCGGCAAATGGTCAAGGATGCTCCTCGATGGTCCTCGCCGAGGAAAAAAACGCACACGTCCGAGCGATGCCAGGACACGGAGGCAGCACAACTGGACGCGGCAAACAAGACGCACGCAGCATCGGAAGCCGCACATCTCTCTTCTGGGGAACGGCTGGCTGGCGTGAGCCTCTCACATCGCCTGCTGGTGGGGGCCCTGACGACTAATCAGGTGCAACGGCCAGAGGAGAAGTGCAGCACATGGCCTTGACAGATCACCCGCTTGCAGGAACTGAGCGAATCAGGGAGGGACAAAACAATACGTGTGGCGAGAGGGTCGATACTAGGCCAACCTGCGTGGGATGAACCATTCGTAAATCAACCTCCCGCGCTGAGCTATCGCCAGCGCCGAGACAGAAAAGCGTGGGATGAAACGCGCAGGGATGGACACGACCACGGAAGAAGCGTGGGACAAGAAATTTTGATGAACAACTGGTCTGTTGGAGTAAGCCAGGCGCGTACGGAATGAATGGCGATACGTCGACAATCCGTTGGAACTAAGCGAAGGGGGGCGGCAGGGCAAACCTACTACCAAGTTAGACGGGCAGTCTCGATGCATGTCCTGCCTGTGCAGCAGGGGCAAAAACAGAGGAGTGGGATAAAGGGCCCCAAGACGGCCCAAGACGCCCCCCAGACGGCCCCACAGACCTCCAAAGCGGCCCCGGATCACCCCAAGTGCGCCCATAGACGGTCCAGTGGGGCCCCCAGGACGGCCTCCAAAAGCCAAGAGGCGCCTCCAAGAAGGCAGCCCAGGAGGGACGAAGAGGGTCGCACGAGGCCTCCATTTCTTCCTCCTCCTCCTCCTCTCCTCCCTCCTCTCCTCTCTCCCTCCTCCCTCCCCTCCTCCCCTCCGCCTCCTCCTCCTCCTCCTCCTTCCTCCTCCTCCTCCTCCTCCTCCTCCTCCTCCTCCTCCTCCTCCTCCTCCTCCTCCTCTCGCTCTCTCTCGCCCTCTCTCTCTGTCTCTTTCTCTCTCGCTATTCCTCCCTTTAGTGTTCCCCGAGGGGGGCCACAGCGGCTGGGGGGAACACAACACAGCTCAACAGCCTGGCCTGACTCTGGCCCAACGTTCGACCACGTAGGTGCTTCCAGAACGGCAGGCGGCGGCGGTGGCCCGCCGCAGGCAACTTCGATAATCGAGAGAGGGAGGATAGGCAACAGGGAAAGGAGGACGAGGAGGAGGAGGAGGAGGAGGAGGAGGAGGAGGAGGAGGAGGAGGAGAGGCAACGCCAACGACCCTCCGAAGACCCTGGCCACTCCTCTCTCGGAAGGTGGGCCTTACATCAGCGGACGAAGAGCTGTCTGCAATGGAGAGTTCGCCCAAGGGAGCGGTGCGCTCGAGTTTCCTGATGCCTCCAGCCGCCCTGGCGGGCGGCCCCATCGGCGGGAACATGCGTATGCCGTCCTCGCTCGCTGTATGCGGGGCGCACCACGCTCGGGGCGCCTTCTCGCCGATTGCTTCCCCCAAGCGCAAACTTGGATGGGGGGGCGGGAGCGGACGCGGCCGAGCAACGAGCTCGGTGAGGCCAGCGTGCAGCCCCCGGCCCCCAAGAGAGAGCACGGAAAGGGGACGCGACCTGGCGAGCCAGAAGAATCCAGACGAGGCCGTCACCGACCGCACTCACACCCTGGGAGAACATGGATTCCGCGACGCACGCGTTAGGTCGTGCATGTTCTCCTACAGGCAGATGTTGGGCGACAAACGAGCATAGTCGTGACATGCTCGAGAGGGACATGCCCGACTGAAACGTAAGCGCGCTGACCCTCGACACACTCGGAGGAGACACTCCATGGCAATAGCGCGAGTGGCCCGTGCCCCTTGCTCGGGCTTGGCGCACACTGCGCGCGGTAGTATCATCTGGCGGGAAGCCGCCAGATGCGAGAAGACACGGCACACCCGTGCAATCACAGGGCAGGCGATCTATACCTGCCCGTGTCGCGACCCTCCGCAATCCATATGCAAACCTTGTTCTCATCAACCGCGGCTAAACTGCAACCATCGCTGCAGGTAGTGCACCTCTTCCCCCTTGCCCCCGCATCATTATCATCACCCTCCTTCCCGCATCCTCCCTCAACTCGTCCTCCATATCCACCCACACTCTCTAAATCCTCCTCCTCCTCACCTTCTCCCCCCTCCCTCCTCCCTCAAACAATCTGCCCCTGCACTTGTACAGGCACACGTTCTGGCCAGAACTTCAAGGCGGATCCAGTCGCGCCGACGGCGGCACCTCAGGATGTCCCCAAACACGCGCAAATACAAACTGGCTTCACCCACAACGCAACGGATCAGCTCAGCCCCATACGCCGTAAAACGACGCAGCGACGCTGCGCTGCAGGGTGCGACAGAGGATAGCATGACGGCCGCCGAGCTGCAGAGTCGGCGGTCCCATGCGTACGATACAGTCGGGGCCTTGTCCTAAGGAACCCAAAATAAGGAACGAGGCCCCTTTTCTCCACAAGTTGAACTTCGATTTCCGATCGGAAACCTATGGAAAACCTGAGGCAAGCTGCGAAACACTCAAGGAACACGGAGCCCCTCCCCAACGAAAAGGGTTCCTGCTTCAGGGCCCCGACTGTATCACAGCAAGCCGTGCAGCGACGGGGCGGAGCCGAGGACCGAGGCATGGCCCCTCGAGTCGAGGCCCGAGGCCAGCACACCGCACGAGGCGCACGAGAAGAAGCCCGAGGCGCCACGCGAGGGCAGGGCGCGCCCTGGCGCCACCGGGGCGGCGAGAAAAAGGCCTGCGAGGCACGCGCACGAAATGCGAGGCGCACGAGAAGAAGCCCGAGGAGCCACGCGAGGGGAGGGCGCGCGCCGGCGCCACCGGGGCGGCGAAGAAAAGGCCTGCGAGGCACCCGCGCAGAGTGTGTGCATTACACCATCCGCTGACGCCCAGGTCGGTGGTGCCTCGCACAGATGCGGAGCAAGGATCAGCAGCGAGAGCAGGGAGAGAGAGAGAGAGAGAGAGAGGGAGAGAGAGGGAGAGAGGTGGAGTTAGGTTGGAAGCGTCCCCTATACAGGCGGACTTTGGACGAAAGATCACAGATAGCCAAAACATATCCAGAAGCAGTCCAAAACTAATCGAATAATCGTCCCCATACGATTTTTTGACTCGAGTATCCCTCCTGTAGAGGGGCAGGCCCGACTTGCAGGCAGAGAGCGCACGAGCCTCCAGCGAGATGTCGGCACCGTCGCGAGATCCTGCATGGCGGAATGGTCCACGCACGAGCAGGATGATCACCAGACGCGCACACGCAGAGCCAAAGTCAAGGCTCGTCGTCCCTCCTCGCCCGCCCTCCTCCCCGTCTCATCCTCTCCAGGACCACCACGCCTCGTAGTCGGAGCCGTGGAGGAGGAGCCACTCGTTCACCTCCTCCCCGCGGCGAGGCAAATGTTGAGCAGGGACCGACCGTCCCGGCATTCCCATGGGCCTACCACGAAATGTTCTTAGAACCAAAAAACGTGCAAATATCAAAAGCAGCGTTCTTAGAACAGAAACCTGATGTGCTAAAACGAGACAGCCTCAGCCAGAAATGTTCTAGGAACATTTCGTGCAGACCACGGAAGGTTCTTAGAACATTATTTGGTGGGCCTATGGGCGAGCCAGGACGCTTAGCCACTGATTGAAGATGGGCCGCGCCCAGAAAGGGGCCCCGCCCTTCTGAGCGCCAGGCGTCCTCCCCCTCCCGTCTCGGCTGCACGCAAGAGTGACGGTACACAGTGGGAGCCCGACCTCAAGAAACCTTCCACAGGAAGCCCAAGCCTGAGACCCCAGGACGTCCATTGATTTTTGATGTGGCAACGTCGCGCTCCCCATGGCAAAAAACCATCGGCGCCCAGGAAACCCAGGGCACCCTGGAGGCAAGCAGGGTGTTTCCTGGCATGGGCACCCCCCCCGCTGCGCAGCAGGAGTGGCTTTGGGGGCTCGGCTTGCCGGTCGCTGCACGCGGTGCGACAGCAGCGACGTGCGCGCCTGGGCTGTTCGCCCCCGTCTCCCCGCGCCCCTGGACAGCCGCGCACCAAAGGCCTCTCTGGCGAAGGGCCACTTGCACGTGTAGCAGACCCTCCTCCTCCTCCTCCTCCTCCTCCTCCTCCTCCTCCTCCTCGTCATCGCCAAGCGCAGGGCATGGGCCACACGAGCTGCCGCAGGATGTTTACTACTGATCATTCGTCTTCTTATTGTTGTTATTATTATTATTATTATTATTATTATTATTCCGCATCGTCGTCGTGGCCGTCGCCGTGTTCCGCCGCCTCCTCCGCCTCCTCCGCCTGCGCTTCGAAGGTCTGTCAGACACAGAGCTCCTCCGAACTTGGCCCGATCCAAGGTGTCGGTGGCGCACAGCTGCTCAACGCCGCAGTGGCCGGGCAAGCGCGGCCCCTGCGGCTCCCCGTCGGCTAGCCGCCCACCTCCGCTGCCATCTCAGCGCTGGCCGCCACCGCGCGCTCCTGACCATGCGCGCTGCGCAGCTGCTGGGCGGTGGAGGCGCCCAGCGCTATGCTGAGCCCAGCGCAACCGCGGCGGCCCAACGCCCCCGCCACATCCCCAGTTTCCGTCGCCGAGCACACGCGGACTTTTGTTGAGCGCTTAGCGGTAGAGGGCAGGCCGGAGAACCAGTAACCGCAGATCTGCAGCGCTGCGGCGTAGAACAAAAAATATGCGCCGAGTCTCCCCTTTGGCGTGGAAGGTTGTCTCTCTCTCTCTCTCTCTTTCTCTCTTCCTCTGTTCAGCTGTCCGTCTGTGCCCGAGGAACTCGCCAGAGTCACACCTGTGTTCTTCACTGCCACCTGGGCCATGCGTCCGAAATCTGCCCGAGGCCACCAAGAGGCCCCCGAGAGGCCCGCAGGAGGCTCCGACTCCTGAGGCCCGGCGGCCTGGCGAGCTCCGCGCTCCGCCCGAGGCGGCCCCTGCGCCCAAGCAGCGGGCACTCCCCAGGCTCGGGGGCGGTGCCCCCGCCGAGCGCGCCGGTGCAGCATATGGGGGTAGTAACGGGTCCGGAGGGCAGCGGGTGCTGGACCCTGGGGGGCCTTCCCGCAGCACGAGGTATTCATCCTGAGTCGCTTTCTGACAACCTCCTCCTCCTCCTCCTCCTCCTCCTCCTCCTCCTCCTCCTCCTCCTCCTCCTCCTCCTCCTCCTCCTCCTCCTCCTCTCCTCCTCCTCCTCCTCCTCCTCCTCCTCCCCCCTCCTCCTCCTCATTCTCCTCCTCCTCCTCCTCCACAATTACTCAATATGAATACTACTCTCCCTCTTCCCCTGATGACGTGCTGGGAGTGTTCGACCCCCCCCCGCGCACTGTTTTTTTACACACAAGATTCCCGCGAGTTGGGTTTTCGCTTGCATTTTTTTCAAAATGCTGCTCTCGCTGAGGCGCCGGCCTCATTTTCGGGCCCCGCTCGTTCCGAATCGTGCTCCCGCTGCAGCGCTGGCCTCATTTCCGTGCTTCCGCTCGTTCCGAATCGTGCTCCCGCTGCAGCGCTGGCCTCATTTCCGCGCTTCCGCTCGTTTCGACTCGTGCTCCCGCTGCAGCGCTGGCGTCATTTCCCGTGCCATGCCACGGCATGCAATGCAATGCTAGGTTGATGCTACGCTTTGCGGTGCTCTTCTACGCCATGCCATGCCGTGCTCTACAATGCATCGCGTACCCTTTCGCGATCATTGCCCTGCTCGACATCCGACTGTGCGAGTAGAGAGGGGATCTACGCCATGGTAAGGGATGGGAGGGAGGGGTAGGATGTCAGATATGACGCCAGCGCACCTAGCTTGTCCTCCTCCCCCTCCTCCCCCTCCTCCCCCTCCTCCTCCCCTGGGGCCCGCCGGGCCCGCAAAGGGCCCCGAGGGCCCAGCAACGGCGAAACACCTCGGGACCCGCTTACCTCGGGACCCGCTTCCCCCCTGGCGGATCGGTGGTCTGCTCTTGGGAGGGCCTCATCGACCAGGTCCTGGCCATGCTCGCTGACGGCACTCCCTGCGCGGCACAGGAAGCCCTCCAGGACTGGGCCCTCGACAACGGTCCGCGCCTGGGCGAAGGAGAAGAGCCCATGCTGGATCCCGACCTCTACTCGGCTGACCAGCGCAGCGACTTCCTTGTCAAGGTCCCTGCCTGGATAATGCGCGCCGGCGCGGAGGGCCCTGCTGAGGAGCGCAGCTCGCAGAAGCGGGGCCCTTCCAGGGAGCTGTCGCAGCCGCACCGAACTCACCTCAACCCTCCTCCCCCTCCCCTCTCCTCCTCTCCTCCTCCTCCTCCTCCTCCTCCTCCTCCTCCTCCTCCTCCTCCTCCTCCTCCTCCTCCTCCTCCTCCTCCTCCTCCTCCTTATGATCCTGTGTTCCTTCTCCTCGGCCAACTCTAGCATGGTGGAGTTTCCCGCCCCATCACTTGGAAAACTGGCAATCTTCAGGCAGGACGCCCCTCCTCCTGTGGTCGCGCACGGACGGCCTCCAGGAGCTAGTCCACGGCGGTCTCAGCACCCCAAACCTGGGGCGCGAAGCGCCCTGGGGGGCGCCGTTAGAGGCGGCGCTGGACGTCGGGACCGCCCTGAACTGCCCCAGGGGGCCCGTCAACTACAGCCATCGTGCTGCCATGGGGAAAGCCCTATGAGGCACGGATGGGCACTTCTGGCCACGGCGAACCTCGGCAACGAATAGGCTCCCCAACCTGTACCTAAGGCGCGGGCCGAAACTCAGGGCGAGACTCAGGGCTCCTCCTGAACCAATGGTGTTCCTTACTCCAGCCTCTTCGTTGCACGGCCGGAGCTGGGACAGAAGAACATCCCCCAAGAACACGAGGCCCACCACCGCCCCAAGCACTCAGAGCATCCGAGGGTTCCCTCCCCCAGGATGCACAAGAACACCCCACAGACACGAAAAACACTGGGATACCCTCCCCAAACCGATCTCGATCTTATACCTCGGCCCGACCGTACCCCCCAGGCGCGCCGCCGAACTCGGGCTGGGGGTCATACCTCGGTATACGAGTGGCCGTTCGGGACGCCTCCGGGCATCCCCAGAACGCTCTTCAGTGAGGCGCAGCCGCTGGAAGGCAGCCCCGGGCGCGGAACGCCGACACGAAACCACTGTGCAACCCCCGAGAGGACCCTCCCGGTAACCGACCTCGACCGTCGACCTGCTGCCTCGGTCCCGCCGGCAGGGCAGCCTCTCGCCATCGCTCGGACGTCCATTTCCCGCGCATTGTTCGGTTTCGTGCGTGTGTTTTTTTTGCTCGATGGTCCAGGATCGTCCTCAATGGTTCTCGCCGAAAAAAAAAATGCACACGTCCGAACGATGCCAGGGCCTGGGCTGCGCCCCCGGGGCCGGGCGTGCGCAGCCCCGCGCGACTCGCGCGCGCGCCGCGGGCCCCGCCCGCGCGCTCTCCCGCCGCCGCTCCTCCGCCAGGGGCGGGCCGCCCAGCGTCCCGCGGGCCGCGCGGGCGGGCAGGCTGCTCTCGACCTGCCCGGGTGCCGCCGCGCGCGGGCGCCGCGTCGTCGCCGCCGCCGCCGCCGGCGTCGACGGGCTCGCGGCCTGCAAAAGCCGGGACGGGCGGCTTCTGGTCGTCTTAGGGCCTCTGGGGGCCCTCGCCGGGCCCTGGGACCGCCAAACCACGACTCGGGATGAAAAGCTGGTCCTGGGGGAAGGGACGGGACTTCCGGGGACCACGTGCTCAAAAACTCAGGACGTCGCATGTCTGGGGAGGGAGGAGCAGGAAGAGGACGATGACCATGACGAGGGCCAGGAGGGGGAGGAGGGGCGCAAGGAAGAGCTGCCACTTTCTGAAACACACACAAAGAGATTAACGAATCGCGCGGAGCAAAAGTTATGAGGGATGTGGTTTTCCAACGCGGATGAAGGCAACGGAGATGCGCAAGGACAGGCTTCTCCAAACGCTGCAGGCGTGCACGGACGGGCGCCGGGATAGCCTTGCACTGAAGTGGGACACCGTTGGAGGGAGGCCCACAGGGCGCCCTGTGAAGCGACAGAGACTATTCATCCATGGCCCTTTCTGCATTCATTTTTTGTGCCGCGTGCGAGAACTTTCAAGAGCAGCGGTGTTTGTGAAAGAGAGAATCCACAAGAGCGGCGCGTGCGTCGTCAAGAAGTGTGGGGTTGGCAGCAGCAGAGCGGCCTGCGCTGCCACGCGCGCAGCAGCCCGCGCAGGGCGCTCTCTGGCGCATGCTGCTACCCTGACCATGGAGTGCACAAAAGGTGGGGTCCATTACCATTCGTTGTCGACTGTTTCGGAAGCTGTGACAGTTCTCTTTACGACGACGATGACGGCGGCCAAGATGAGGGCGACTCCCTCAGCGGCAGCCCTCGGCGAAACTCCATGAAGCGAGCGCGCGCGCGCGCACTGGACGGCTAATTTCCCCCTGGGACCCCGGGAGGGTGGAGGAGAACGAGAAGGAGATGAGGAAGGAGGGGCGGACGCACGGTTTTGGAGAACGAGGGTATGAGAACAGAGGAGCAGCCTTAATGGAGAAGAGCACAACACCCACGCGGATGAGGACGAAAGCAGTCAGAACAAACAGGGTACCAACAGCTCCCCGAGACGTCCCATCATCGAACCCAGATGTTGCGCGAGCGGACCTGGCGTGCCCCTCCCCGTCGTCCCCATGCTATCTTCCCTCACCTCCCCCCTCCCCCCTCCCTCCCCCCGCCCCGCCCCCCCCTCTCCGCTCCCTGCCTCGCGTCCCCCATTCCCCCCTCTGCCCTCCCCTCCCTTCATCCTCTCCCCCTCGCCCCGCCCCATCTCTCGGAGGCGGCCGCAGTGCACCACCGCCGTCCCTGGGCAAGGTCGCTCTGGGCAGCGGGACGCAATACACAGGCGCCGTGCCTCGGCCAAGCAGGTCTACACGCCAGCCCAGGGCCCAAGAAGGGCTCCCCGGCCAGGGCAACTGCGACAGCCCACGACGTGCGGCTGGGCCGTGGGGCAACGTCACCGAGGCGCCGAGTTGTCATTGTGCACTTTCTGACTTCCCGACTTGGGGCAACGGCATATTGGCAAATACGCCACGGACTGCAACATGAACTGGATCATCACAGATGGCCGGCCCTGGCCAGGGCATTGTCTCGCGCATCGCATTACCTTCATCATGATGTCCTATCGGGTGGTGCGCAGGCGGTCACGATGTTCGCCCATGTGTACCACCCCCCCCCCTACAACTCCGTACCACCATTCTGGGCTGCTGGAGGGGCGTGTTGGCCACGGAACCTACGACCTTGGCGCTCCCATATTCTACTCTCTGGGCAGCTAGAGTTATGATGTTCCAACCTACTTTAGCCCTGACCACCAGAAAGAATTTCGAGCACCAAGAGAGTACCGAAACCTGAGGGTTTTCACGTGTCGGGCCCTGGGAGGCGATACTCGTCCGACACTGCTTCGAGACTTTTCTGGGTGCCCGAAATGAGTTCTGGGATGGGGCCCTCAGGTACCGTGGGACTGGCCATCGCTCGGACGTCCATTCCCTGTGTTTTTGTTTGGTTTCGTGCGTGGCTTCTTCGCCAAATGATCAAGGATGCTCCTCGATGGTCCTCGCCGAAGGAAAAAAGCGCACGTCCGAGCGATGCCAAGGGGAGCAACATGGAGCTAGAGGTCCTTGATCTTCCCGCCATCGTGCCGGCGTCCGCAGGGTATCAAGTGGGTGGCCTCTTCGACCCCGGCTGAGGCGTGCACCGTGGCGCCAAGGAGGCCTCGGCGCGCTCTCCTCACGCGCGGGTGCCCGCGGGGTCGGTGGGGTCTTCCCCCCGTACCCACCGGTCGGAGGAAACAGGCAGACCCGGGAAGCAGGAGGGCGCTGAAAGTAGACTGGGTTCCGTCCGCCCCCTACAGGGCAGCTCCTGATACGTAGGACTCTTAAAAGTATAGGACTTTTAATACAGGATGAATTCATGAATAAAGTTATGCATGAACTCATCGTTGTGTTTAATGCTAAACCCCTGCATGTTTAGTACATGATCCGCACGCGGAACATGTATTAAAAACGGCACTGTAAGGAGCACGGAAAAGGTGAAGTCACTCGATCACTGAAGTCACTGAGTCGGTTGGAATCTGGGAATCCAGCAACGCCTACTTTCAAGGACCGATGGGTATAGCTGCGGAGTCGCAGGTGTCCCCCAGCCGACGTCTATATACATATATATTGTTACTTTCCTCTGCGGGGTTCTTCTCCGCTGCGCGCAAGAGGGACCCGAGGCAGGAGTGACCTTCGGTGGGCGGCCTAACGTGGCCGCGCCCACCCTGGGCGCAGGATCGGTGTGCACGACCTCCTGGCCTGGCGGGGGAGAGGCCTGCACACCGGCCGCGGGCTCAGGATCGGACGGGCAAGGAACAGGGCAGCTTTTAATACCTAGGATGTTCTAAACATATGTTTCTAAAACAAGATTAATGTATGAATGAATTGATGCATGAACTCTTCGTTGTCTTTAATACTAAATCCCTGCATTTTTAATACATGACCCGCACGCGGAGAATGTATTACAAACGGCACTGTACCGATGCCGCCACTCCCTGGACCTCTCTCCGGGTGCGCTCTGAGCAGAAACTCAAGGCGCACCCAGCGGTGGCGACGAGGGCCCCCCAGGAGGCCCAACAAGGAGGGACACGAGGGACGGGTAGCGGTGTGGGTACCTCGGCCTCCTCTGAAGGACGCGGCGGTGGTCACCCAACGTCCCCCGAGGAGGTCAAGCCAGCGGCCTCGACGCGCTCGCAGCCGCTGTTCGAACACTCCTGCTGCACCGTGCACCTCATCAGGCTGTACCGGAACCACAGGGCGGAGCTCTGGCGGCAGGTGTGAGCTTTCTTGACGCTTGCGAGGGGGCCAGCCGTCCCTCTCGACGTCGTCTTATCTATTGATTCGTCTCTGTTGTTACATGTATGCATCTGCGTTCATGTGCACATGTATGCCAGTGTGTGAACCATGTTGATCTTTCCATGCCACATGCACATGCAATTTGGTGTGTATCTATATATTTACACACCTGTATCTAATCATGAGTGAAGGGGGCCCGAACGGTCGTATATGATCCCCGCGCGCGCGTGGCTGGAGTAGGTGCGGCGACGCTGGGAGGGCACGCTGAGAGGGCACGCTGGGAGGTGAACTGGGACGGCGCGCTGGGAATGCACGCCGAGAGGGCGCGCTTGGAGGGCGCGCTGGGAGGGCGCACTGGGGAGGCGCACTGGGGAGGCGGGTTGCCTGAAGAAACGCCTGGTCGTAGCTCCACTTCCCCCTCCCTGCTCCACTTCCCCCTCCCCATCCTCTCTCTCCTGGCCCCCTCACTCTTATCCGCAATGGCGGGGTGCTTAGTATACAATAGTACACATGCAAGTCGCATGGAACGATGTGGAGGACATGGGAGCGGTTTTGAAGGTTCCCGCCGCCACGGTCGGAAGCGGCCCGAAAGACTGTCTGGGAGGGACCACGCGAGGGGCCCATGCAAAGCGGCGCGGGTGGCGCGACCGACGACCGACGACGACGACGAAGACGACGACGACGACCCAAGTGCAGCCGCCGTGCCAGCGCCGACGACGACACAAGACGACGACGACGACGACGACGACGACGACGACGACGACGACGACGGCGGCGGCGACGACGACGAAGACGACGACGCAAGTGCAGACGCAGTGCCAGCGCCCCTGCGGCACCGCCCACCCTGGCGGGCCCCTGGCGGGCTGCCCCCCAGAGCCGCAGGGCGGGGCCCCCGGGGGGCGCACCCGCTGCGGACGCCTGCCGCCGCAGGGGGGTGCCGAAGGTGCCTCGGGTGCCGGGACGAGGGGGCTCCGGGGCGGGCTGCTGCCGCCCCGAGAAGGATGATCGTCGTGCTGGGAGGAGGAGGTCTGGGAAGATACATTTTTTGATCCGCGGGTCGAGAGCGCAACTCTTCCGGTCGAAGCTAAGCGGGCCGCGCACAGCTTTAATCAACAGAGGGGGGAAGGCAGAAAGAGGGGCATCACATCAAGGCCAAGAGGGGGCAAAGCCCCGGAATCAGGCGGTGCCGAAGACGAATCTGGGAAGATACAGGGCACGAGTGCGTAAGAAACACCTTCGACATACTCGATCATATGAATGACCTGATCTTTTCTCCCAGCCCAGTGCCCCCAACCCGAGAATTATCTTTCTGACCACCCTGAGGCCGCCTGGCCCGTCCCCCTCCGCCACTCTCCGGTGGAGCACCGGCAGGTGCGAGCACGCTCCTCACCGTCCGCAATCTACACGGCGCGGAAGCGCAGGAGGCGCGAGAGTGACGCACAGGGAGGTCTAGAGCCGCCGCGCCACGAGACTCCGAGTTTGTGATGCGCGCCGTCTGGTCGGTGGCGTCAACTAACTGACCACCTCGCCGACACTGGCTGGACCGAGCCTGGGCCTAGGAGGCTCGTCAAAAATAAATTGAAATGCTGTTCAAAATCGAAGCGCCCCATAATTCGGGCCCTTGTCAGAAAACGTGTTCTTCGATGCTGTGCGGGTGCTACCGGATTTCAGGCACCCCTGCGTCTGGGCCGGATACCTCATGCCAGTATTGAAGTAGCGCCCACCACGCAAGCACCAAAAACAAAAAACGTTTATTTATGCTTGACGAGTCTTGTTCGCTTGGTGGCGCCAAGCTCGCTTCCATTCGCTCATGCTCTTTGCGTTCTCGTGCGCTTGACGGTAGGGCTCGCGTTACTTAGTCCATGCCTTCGTGGTCTTGCCTGACTCCTTGCGTGGACATTAGAATCCGACCGCATCTTACAACCGATTATAATCATCACCGTCGCCAGTGCCATAGCACGTAGTTCCTCTCGGACGTTCTTTTGTATGCGTCACACCTGCGCGCTACTTCTCCCCCCACTTTTTGTTGCGCTGGAGGTGCAATCTAAGTGGTGCGTCATCGTCACCGCCGCAGCCACCATCGCTGCCATCCTGGGGCCCATTCGCAAACTTGCACAGCAGCGCGCGAGGTCGCCCTGTGCCCCTGTGGCCCCGCCGCCGCCCGACGTCGCCGCGGCGTATCTTTCGCAGCGCAGCTGCCTGGCTATGTCCACCGCGCCGCGTTCATTTACAAAAGATGGTGGCCGGGTAGTTGCGCAACTACCCCGCAACTGCCCTGCCACCGTCCACCCAACATTGTTTTTTGATACGGATGGCAATCACCGATGCTGCGGCGTTGCATCTTTCACACAACAACTATCCGGCTGCGCCCACCGCGCCTTGTTCTTTATATCAGGGATGATGGGCCGGGTGCTTGGCGGCTACAAGCGGCCGCTGCCTTCTAACGCGGGCCCCACACAGTGAGTTCTAGCTTTCTCTGGGCGACATATAGGCGGTGCCATCCGCGCGGCGCAAGCTTCGCGATGCATCGTATGCGGCGCGCGTGCCCGTGTTTGGTGAGTTTTTTTTATTCGGCGTTTCGACCTTGGGCGGCAAGGGGGGAGGGGGTCTGGCTCCAGACCTCTGCTTACTGCGACTGTTTGCAGCAGTGCGGCCGATGCGGGAGGGACCTCACCTGCTCGAAACAGGCGCCCCAAACAGCCAAGATCTACTCCATAAGGGGGGGGGGGGCGCGCCGGTCGGCAAAACAATTAATAAACAAAACGAGTACGTGTACCGCGAAATGCAAGCGATGTTTGGGGACGCTGGCATACCGCGCGGGCCCTTGCCGCGACGGGGCCAGCGCGCGTCCAGGCACGGGCGCGAGGCCCGAAGTCAATGCTTCGTCCTGCTCGCCTTCAACCTGATGGGGTCGCGGGCCCGTTCCTTCTGATCTGCGCAGATCTTGATCAAGTACGCCCTGCGGCGTACGTCCACCCAGGCCACCGCCGCGCGAAGGCGAACGACGAACCCGTCTTTGATGTCCATGGAGTCCGGCTCTGCAGCGGCAAGGCGAGCGCGCACTTCCCGGCACGCGGCCTCGATCGCATCGAGGTCCTGGCTGCACCTCGGGTAGTCCTCCAAGAGATGAGTGCCCTGCTCGAGCAGGGCGCAGCGCGGTTCCTCGGCCCGAAGGCACCGCCCGTGGCCTCGAACCAAGAAGACCCCGCGGTCGCCCCGCTCGTGGTCTTGAACACCGCGGTCGGAACAAGCCAGACCACCTCGCGCACATCTTCTCGGCGCCCAGATGGGCGCGGACGTCTCCAGCGAAACGGGCCAGATCACCTCTCGCGCGGCATCCCGAAGCCGACCTGCGAGGATGTCTTAGGCGGAACCCGCCGGGCCGCCTTGCGCGCAGCACCTCGGGGCCCAGCGACGCGAGAATGTCTCAAGCGAACGGCCCAGATCACGTTGCGAAGATGTTCTCAGAGCCTACAGGCGTCGCAACGGCACATTTTTGACAACGCGACTACCTCTAGCGCCCACCAGGCAAGCACCGACAACAGAAAACCGACAATCGAGTTGTGTTTGACGAGTCCCGCAGGATCGTCCTGGCCAGGCTCGGTGAGGTGGTCACGTGGCGCACCCCCTGAACACGTCACGCTTCGGAGGTGCGCGCGTATCGCCCGGGTCGGCGCAGGACCCTCTCTGGCGCGCGCCGCCGGAGGCGCCGCCAGAGGGGCGCCCAGCACCAGCCCGAGAGATCAGCGCCGACCTCCAGAGAGCAGTGCTGATGCAGTCTGCTCTTGCTTGGCTGCTGCGCGGTGAGTGCCTCCATCCTCCCGATCACCGCCGGCTGGCCCGCTCGGGCATCGTGGGCCCCGCGGGGGGGGGGGCGGCCCGGACACGCCGGGCGGTGCCTTCGAGAGGTCTGACAAATCCGAGGGCTGCGGCTCCGGGGGCATGCGGAGGCGGTGGCCAGGCGCATGCCTCGGAGGCATGCGCCTGGCTTATTAGAGGGCAAAAAATCCCCCCCTCCCCCCCAGGATGACCTCCTCCTCCTCCTCCTCCTCCTCCTCCTCCTCCTCCTCCTCCTCCTCCTCCTCCTCCTCCTCCTCCTCCTTCCTCCTCCTCCTCCTGCTCCTCCCTCCTCTCTCCCCTCCCGTCCTTTCCCCTCCCGTTCCCTCCTCTCCCCTCCCCTCCCCCACCCCCCGAGGAGCCAGGCCGTTCTGTAGACGCACCTAACGAGGGAATCGAGCAGGGCAAGGCTGCTCAGAAAACGCCCAGGGCCGTTCAGCAAACGCCAGTGATCGGGTCCAGGTGGTTTTTCCTCCCCCCTTGATGGCTATCGCAGACCCATGGACCTTCGCAAGCACAGGTGCAATCATCGCACTGCCATATGCGGCACGCCAACGAAGGAACGTAGGGGAGTTTTCCTGGCCATGGCGAACCACGGCCACGAGTAAGAGTACCCTGGCCTGAATATACGGGGCGGCCCGAAAACCAGAGCCTCTGGTGAAGGTTTTCTTTATTCGGCGTTTCGACATTGGGCGGCAAAGGGGGGGGGGGGGGGGGGGGGAAGGGTCTGGCTCCAGACCTCTGCTTGGTGCGACGGTTTGTTTGCGCCAGTGTGTTCATTGTGGGGGAGACTCCACCTGCACGAAACAGGCGCCAAAAACAGCCAAGATCTACTCCTCGGGGGGGAGGAGGGGTTGCGAGGGCCCGCGCCGATCGGCAAAACAATGAATAAACAACTACGTATCACTAAGTGGTCGTTGTTTCCGCGTCTTGGACGTAGGCCAAGCCATCATACGATGAAGAACTTTCGCTTTGCGGCGGAGGTCCCTGTGACGCGCTAAACAGTGCACGCTGATTGCGTGAGGCTCTGCTTCGTGGGACGGGAGGATGAGGAAAGGTCAAAGAGAAATTCTAATTCAAATTAAATCAAAGGCGGGGGTCCTGCTCTAGGCAGGCCGCACATTCACATTCA